AACATTTTGAATAAGCTGGTTGAAATGCCTTGAAAAATAAAAATATTTATTATTTAAAAAAATGTCTTTATTTAACTTACATTATTCCAAATAATATCAGCAAAATAATCAATATATTCTCCTATTTCAGCATATTCACCTGAATATTTTGTATATAACCATACAAATAATAGAACAAAACAAACCCAAAACGCAAACATAAATATAAAATTAATTCCACCAAGCCAAATTGTATCAAGTATACCAGCTATTAAATAACATATAATCATTGATGATATAAATGTTGTTGGTGTACGACTAAATGCAAAAACATTTTTTGAATCATTATGTTTTTTATAATTAGCTAAAGAAAAAAAAGAAAAAATTATTTAAATATTTTCTATATGAAATTGGTTTTGTTTTGTTCATTTTACTATAAAGTTCAAGAATTTCATTTTCTAAATCTTGTTGATAATTTAATGACATTTCTTCACCACCCATTTTACGTGCACAACGAAATTTTTCAATAGCTTGTCGACGAACTTCTTGATGAAGAACATCTAATTGATTTGGATGAATATATGGTCGATCACCACCACAATGCTTTAATTACATATCAGACTTTTTTTTTTTTGAGAATAAAATTTATTTTTTTTTACCTGTTCCATTGCGCGAATATAAAATTCTTTTGATGTTGATTTAGCAGCTAAATTATTAGCTTCAGCTGTTGCCTGAGGAAAAAAACAAACGTTTTCATTTGATAGTAGTTTTTTAAACAGAAGGATGGAACGATCATCCTTCCACAAAACAAGAATAGCGGACCCCCGAATGTCTCAAAATTGATTAAACTTGAGACTAGAGATGTACAGGGCTAGGTAACGTCTTTTCTAGTGGTTTCGGTTTTGGTCTCAATAGATCTAATCTGATGATAATCCATTTTTGTAGTATCAATCAAAGCTATGGTGTACCTCAGGAAAATCGGAAATAATGATTTTTGAATTTCAAATAGCTATTCGATTGGAACATAAGTTCTGCACATTTAGATCAGTAAAATTATATCTTCAATATAAAACTACATTTTAAAGAAAGTAATTATATATTCTTCAAGCGCTCGGAATTCTCTTTCATCCTGTGTATTTAAGTCTTGAATTGTATTTATCTTCTAAAAAATATTTCGAATACAATGAAGATACCCTCACCCAGGATCTCCATTCTTTTGTTCATTTTTCATGAGTTTTTAAAATTTTTATCTATACAGCGTCCATTTTTTTTTTAGAAAAGTAATTATATATTCTGAGAGTCCTTGAAATACTCTATCACTCTATATATTCAGGTTTTAGCTTGAACTTCTTTGCTGAGAAGTACTTCGAACATTGTCAATGCGATGAGGGTGTCTTCATTGGATTCGAAATATTTTTTAGAAGATAAATACAAGTCAAGACTTAAATAAACAGGATGATAAAGAATTCCGAGCGCTTGAAGAATATATAATTACTTTCTTTAAAATGTCGTTTTATATTGGCAATATAATTCTACTAGTCCAAACGTGCAGAACTTATGTTCCAATCTGATACAATTTTGATAAGTTCTTTCTTCGTAATCAATATATTAGATTTACTATGATATATTAATGTTTGTTATTCTTTGTCAGACATTCTATAAATTTAAAAATGAACCTTGCTAATAATATCATTCTTATGATAAATTGATGACAAGAATGATTTCAATTCTCTATTTATCATAAATTTTCGTATAAAATTATAAACAATATTCAAACTAATTGTTGATTCTCTTTGACAAGATATTATATAATCATGACTACACGGTAAATAACAATTCATTATAATAGACAAATAAAAAAAAAAAAGAAAAAATTGAATATCGATTTTAATATTATAGCGCTCAGTTTTTTTTTTTTGATACATAATATATATAGATGTGTACATACTTCAAGCATAGCTTTCGGTGTTGGCAAAACTCCCGATGCGAATACAGCACAGTAAGTCTAAAATGAAAACAAATAATTTCAGATGAACTCAATACGCATTGCAAGTTTTTTTATATGGCATATAGTGGTTTTATTTAGTTTCTTCGGCACATATATATGTATGGTCTCAATAGTTCAGTTTATATTGTTTCATAAATCATACTCATGTTTAGAGAATTTCCTTTTGGGAATCAAATGTTTCTGTCGATTACACAATAAGTTTCATCTTGATTATATTAGAAGACAAGAATAATAGTGCATATAAGCTACGATCAAGATTGCTTAAGCGATCTTTACTCATTTGACTATTAGCTTTACCACAGAGGTGAGTACATTTGAATGAAGAAGAAATTGAATATTTCAATTCAAATGAATAAATCATTTTGAAAATACAGACGTTGCAATCAGTATAGATACTCTGTTAAATTTTCATTTCCTAAACAATAATAAGAACTATTGTAGAGATTTTTTTTATCATATATAATATCGGCTATGAGCTATCATTTCATATTATCGTTTTTAAAAGTTTATAGGAATTGAATTTTGATACATAAAATATTTCGAATAAGATAAAAACGAGCAAATTTTGCAATACAATTCTATTCAAATAAAAGTTCATGTCGATAAACTTCTCAAATTCGAAATTTCAACATAAGTATGGAAAATGGCGAAAGAGTTACTCAGGGCTGTCGCGAGCGGGGGAAGACGGAGATCACTTCCCCCCCCCCCCCTCCCCAATCTTGAGGACCTCGCGACACTCCTGGAGTTACTTTATTTTTTATAGGATTATATCAAAGACTAGAAATAGTGAAAATTTCATCATAAACTATTTTTATTGTGATCTTTATATGCATAAAGTTTAAAGCTATATTTCAAATATCAATTTTTTTATGTCCTTGAAAGAACCGTGACGATTGTCTACCAAAGCAATTTGTAACGGGTCGATACACTTTGGTCTCTTATTAATATAGACAATTAATTAAAGGTAATATGAAGTACATAGTTTTTCAATCAAAATCAATTTATTAATAAGGACTATTCTAATGTAAGAAATATTGGAAAAAAATATTATATGGATCGAATATCATTCAATTAAAATTTTGAATTTTTTATTTGACGAACATTTGAGAACAAACATTCTATAATCGTATGATAAATTCAATCTTATGCAAACATTTTTAATCATGAAAGTCAAGCGTATAATCAAAAAAAAAAGAATCTCTGGTATAAGTAATTTATTAAAAATGATTACTCTATCATATGTTCTCAATACGGACTGATTCCGATGGAAAAAATTCGATCACTGGATTTCTGCTTCTAAGTTCTCGAATTTTTTCGATTGAAATGTCTATTTTTCAAAAAAAATAAAATAAAACATTCTACCTACTCGAAAATATTCAAATAAATCTGTTGATGTAATTTTTTCACCATTAATTTCTTTAAGAAAATTTTCATTGTCTAAACGAAAAACTTCTGGTACAAGTGTTAATAATTGTTTTTTAAAATCTTCTTCAATATCTAAATAATAATAAAACAAAAATTATATAATTCAGAATAATAATGAATTTCATTTCTTCTTTTTTTCTTTAAACCTGTTAATCGTCCATCAAATTCGCGTCGATTTGTTACTTTAAGACCAGGATGTGGCATAAGAAAACAATTAACTTTACGAAAACATTGACGTAATCGTGTACGAACTAATTCAAGATCACGATGTTGATTTTCTCGAATCTAATTTAATTGAAATAAAAAAAAATAAAATAAAATTTTTTTTTGTACTTTTAAACGGTCTGTTAAAACATCTTCACCACCATCGAAACCATACGCTGTTTCATATTCAAATTGCCAATCACGTACAAGAAATGTTAATTGCTAGACAACACAAAAAAAAAAAAAAAAAAAAAAACTTCAATTCTTTTTAAAAAAAAATCAACACACTTGAAATGGTGATGTTTGATAAGCATCAATTGCTAAAACACCATATTCAGCAAAAAATGATAAATGTTGTAAATTATCTTCTTGTAAATTATGCATAATATTATAAACAGTTATACTACTAACAAGTAATGTTAATGCAAATATAAATGCATTTTCAAATACAGTTGAATTTGAATCAAATGTTCCTTGAGTATCCATAAGAAAGATTGCAATCTAGATTGAATAAAATGTTTTTTTTTTTTTTTTATATTTAATAAAATATTTTATATTATTATTATTATACTTCTTCTCCATTTGGTAATGATACAAGAAATGGTTCACTCCACATATTCATTCCTGTTGTATGTCGAGTGGCACCACCACGCCAATCGAAACCTTTCAAAGGTTCATCATTTTTTCCAATCCATTCTGTATGATTCTAAATTTATTACAATAAAAAAGTCAGATGTTCGTTTTCACAAGATTTTTTTTTTTTTAATAATTAACCTGTGCTCGTAAATAACGAAGAAAAAAATCAAGCATAAATGATTTTCCTTTACGAAAATCACCTGCAATTGAAACAAGTGAGATCTAAGATAGATATTTAAGAAACAAAAAAGAATAACAATTATTAATTAATTATATTATTTATTTTATTTTTTGTTTTTATTGTTACTTTTTTTCCAATTGCTCGTTTATGATATAATATTTGTTTTAATTTTTTTTCATCCAGTACAAATTTATGATCTTCTGTTATACTCACTACTTGTACAGGACCAGCTGATGAGGATTGCTCCATGAGTAAATAATAGATATTTAATCTGTAGGTAAACGAAAAAAAGAAGAAAAGAAAATTGCGTCTATAACAGTGAAACTAGATAAAATATAGAATCGTATTATGTTTTTTTTCATCTTAAAATGCACCATTCAAGTCCTGTGATTCATTCAACCAATAGCGAAAAAATACATTTTAAATATGCATGAAAGGATAACATTTTATTAAATATGGCTCTTTTTAATAATAAATTTCAATAGAAATTATAAGTGAATGTTATTGTTTTTGTTTAAATTTGTGTGAAATTAAAATAGAAGATCGTTTTTTCATTTGATGATTTATTATCCAATCAAAATAGATTTTATCATCTTAGTAAAGGTTTAAACTAAGCAACAAAAAAAGACATTAGAAAAAAAAAATCGAATTGTTAAACATAAAAGTATTTTATAAATTTAAAAATGACTCAAAGCAAAGAGCAACAAGGTAATAAGTTTATCTGTTAATCCTTTTTTTTTCATGTGTAACTAAATCCAACAATGAACTTTAACAAGTTCAATGTATTTCGATATAAATTGATTAGTAAAGAATTGTTTGCTAATAACTCTATTTTTTCTCTTCATCTATATTAAGCAACAAAAACAATTCATGATGCTGTTCGTCGAAATAATGTTAAAGAACTTGAATTAATTGTTGGACATGGTGCAAGTGTTAATGAAGTTGATGCACATTGTGATGATAAATTTGCACCATTACATTGGGCTGCGCATTCAGGAAGTCTTGAAGTATTTAGAAAAAAAAAAGATAGTTTCATATTTATCATTATAGTCTTTTTCTTTTTGAAAGTGTATGCATTGGCTTTTATGGCAATCCGCTGATATGGATGCACAAACACCAAAAGGATGGACACCAGCTCATATTGCTTCCATTCGAGGACATGATGCATGTGTGCAAGTAAGAACATCCTTATCGAATTTTTCTAGAGTGAACGTGATTTTGCAAAAATCTTGCATAAATAGAGAATGTTAAACTTTGATCGTAAGAATTTGATCAACCTTGATGCAGAGGAGTTAGCGAAGATATTTCAATATAGAAAACAAATCTCATGATGTTAGATCTTTCATTTGATAGTTCAACGTTGCTTCTATCATCAATAAAAATTTTATGCCAAACGATTTCAGTTCGTCTGAGTTGAATGAGAATCATCGAAAAGTGATTGATACCTCTGACTGAGATTGTCTTCAATGAGTGTCTTGTTTTAATCAAGTTTTCCCTGGAAATTTCATGATTGCAACCATCGATGCAGTAGAGATCCATGCTGAGATCTTTTCAAGATTACAACGAATTGAAGTACTCTATCTATGATACACAATATAGACATGCCAGTCTTTATTTGTTAATAATAAAATGAAGGCTAATGTATGTAAATAGTGGAAAATAAAAAAGAAGACTTTTTTGGGTCCTAGAGAAAAAAAACTCGGTGTTTTCATCGTAAATTCTTTGCATTAAGGTCTATTCACCTAGGAGTGTTGTTTGCGATCAGAGTTTACTGAGCTCTACTGTGTGCGTTTCTTATTTACAAATTCTGCAAATTCAAACAGCATGTTTGGAAACGTAATAGTCGATGACTGTTCAAGACTACAAAATCTGTATGCAAAACTTTTTCATACAGGTAAAATCCTCTTTTACCTGTATGAAAAGTTCGAAAATTAATACTAAACGGCGGGAGTCTAACATCTATTCAAAAAAGAAAAGAACTTCTTTAATAATGTTCATATCTCTTTCTTATATATTTTTTCTTAGGCACTAATTAATAATAATGTTAATATAAATACACGTGATCGTCGTAATCAAACATGTCTTCATATGGCTTGTGCACATGGAAATTCCTTTGTTGTACATACTCTATTACGTGGAGGCGCTGTAAGTTCTGTTTTTTTTTTGTTTGCTTGTTAGATTTACTCTTCGATAGTAATCATTTGTTATATATAAAGGATATCAATCAGCGAGATATTAATGGATGGACACCAGTTTATACTGCAGCTTATCATGGAAGACTTGGATGTTTACAAATGTTAGTTAAATGGGGTGGAAAATTAGATGATGTTGATAATGAAGGCAATACAGCAGGTAAAAATTTGAAATTATTTCAATTCTAGAAAATTGTTTTTTATGTTCTGAGAAGTCATATACTAGTAGTTAAAGAACTCAGTAGGTCTACAAAACAATTTCCTATAGACTATTCGATGTGTGCAACAGATATGTTAATTCGACAGAATCTTTTCATATTTATCTATAGATTATATATAATAGAATTTGAGAAAATAATTTAAAAAATATTTTTAGCTCATCTTGCTGCTATGGAAGGTCATTTACCATGTTTAAAATTTATTGTATCAATTAGTCGAGATACAGCAACAATATTAGGAGCTCGTAATGATCAAGGTGATACACCAAAATCTTTAGCTGAACAATTTTATAAAGAAAATTGTTGTACATATCTTGATGCACTTGAATGGGAAAAAGATCATCCTGAACAAGCTGAAAGTATAAATTATATATAGAAAAAGAAAAAGAAAAAAAAACATAATCAAATATATTTTTTATTTTTAAGATCTTGCTTTTCCAGCACATGTTGCTGCATATAATGGAGATTTTGAACATGTAAAATTATTAGTTGAACAAGGTGTTGTTAATATAAATGAACGTGATGAACGTGGTGCAACATTAGCACATAAAGCAGCTGGTCAAGGACATATTGATATATTACGTTGGTTAATTGAAATGGGTGCTTCGATGGATTTAATGACACAAAGTGGTGAAACACCAAAAGATGTAGCAAGACGTTTTGGTCAATTAGCTTGTTTGAAAATAATTGGTGGCGGTGGTGGTGGTGGTGGTGGTGGTGGTGGTGCTAGTGGAGGAGGAATGGATAAAATTGAATTAAATATAAATCAACATCAAAAAGAATCTAATCGAAGAAAATTAACACCAAAAGAAGAAGAACTTACACGTGCAAAACAAAAATATGATGAATTACAAAAACAATTTGATATAGCAAAAAAAAATTTTCGTCAATTAGGTGGAGAATTAGAAGAAGATCATAAACGAGATGTAGTTGAACATGAATCACAAAAGTATTATTTATTTATTTTTTAAAAGAAAATATTTTTTTTTGTTTTTTGTAATTTTTTAGAAAACTTGAAGAATTTGAAACTCAATTAGAATTTGAAAGATTAAAACGAGAAAAACTTGAATCAGAATTAGATGAATGTCGACAAGAAATTGCACGTTTAATTAATATATTACGATCATTTGAAGAGAAAAGATTACATATACGTGTAAGATTTTAAAGTTAAACAAAAAATAGTTTGCCTTTTTTTTTTTTTGTTTTGATTATTTTAGCAACGACCATTATCAAGTGAAAATCGTCAACATAAACATAAAAAATCATCAGCAACTTCAAGTAAACAATCACGACGAATAGAAAAAGAAACAGGAGTTACATTTATGCGTAGAAATTCTGTCAATTCTTGATAAGTTGCTTTTTTTTTCTGTTGTAATATAGAAAAATTATTAAAAGTTGCTTTTTGTCAGAGTTCAATTTTCTAACATTGGGGTTTCTATTTGAAAGAATTATTTTAATTCTATATGTAATCATTTTTAATAAAATGTATAACAATTCAATTAATCATCCGATTTCGATTGATTTCATTATGCTTATAATAATTAATAGAAGAAAGCAGAAGCAAATCAAAAGAAAAGATTTCAGGCTTGACTATGATAGATCTACATCAAGTGGAATAAATGATCCGAAAACCGAAGGCCTACAGACATACCAAAAAAAAAGTTAACAATGTTCAAAAATATTCGAACTCGAATCGTAGGATGCTTCTATAATTGCTCGTATGGGTGAATTATCCAAGTAGCCGAAACTGTCAGAACTGGTTGAATAATTTCCGAAATCGAACCAGAGTTCGGGTTTGATACATGCCGATATACAATTAAAATCTTCAGAGAATAACTATTTTATTTAACAATATCTTTTCATTTTACTAAACAAAATATTTTAATCTATTCATCTATATTTATACAACTGCTGCGTTTTGAATGATATTTTATCCAACAAAAAAATCTTCTATTGTTTTACAAGAACATTGATTTTTAGTGTATTTGCCTTTACAATCCCAAGCTCGACCGATCGTTGAATCCGGTTCAAACATTTTTTATTCGGTTCTAGTTCGTACATCTATGCGTATACTGCTCATCAGCACCACCGCTACAATCACAGGTTTGAATACGACATCTATTGGCACTATCAACAACACATCAGAACTGCATGATGAAGACCTTTTTTATATATTCTTGTTCGTTATTAATCTTATCCATTCATGAACGATTCTTATATAACTAATAAATGAACGAATGAATATGAATATGAATATTTTTATGTATTACAATTCTTATTAAATACTGTCATGAACTCTCGATATTTTAATTTACGGACTATTCAAAATCATCAGATAGCAGATTTTACAAAATGATATTTCAATATTCCATTTATCTGAATTATTGCGTATTATAAAAAAATTCAGTACTTTTATTTACTTATATTAGATAAATCGATTGAAAGTAATCAATGAAGGTATAGTTATTATAAGACGTTGTAGAGATATAAAATCTACATAATGTTAGAAAATCTCGAGTTAATTTAAACTAGTGAGCATGATCATGCATTTTGTATCCTAAAAGAGTTCCTATAATACAAATACAAAGTTCAAATATTTCGTATGAGTTTATCATTAAAAGTGTATTTACTGACAAAATTTGCTCAGTAATAGTTTATTTTCATTAGAACAGAAAAGAAAAAACGACCAAAAAAAATTTTGCAGAGTCATGATGATGACATCTATTTATTTAAAGATATATAAATGAAGACAAAAATACATTGTTCTTGTATAATTTCATTGATTTTCAAAATAAATTCCAGATTTTTCTTTTAAACAATGACAAGTATTCCAAAACATCTTAAATCAGGTATGTGTAACAAAAAGAAAAAAAAAACTTCTATATAATTTAATATATTTATTTTTCAAAATAGGTTCGGAATGTCCACCATTAAAAGAAAAGCAATTACGATTATATAGCATGCATTTTTGTCCATATGCTCAACGAACTAAACTTGTTTTAGCTGCTAAAAATATTCCGTAAGTTTATTGTACATTTTATTTATTTTTTGGTTGTAACATATTTCAAGTTATTCTAGATACGAAGAAATAAATATTAATCTTGTTGAAAAACCAGAATGGTATTTAGCAAAGAATGCACCAGGTCAAGTTCCATCATTAGAATGGATTGATAATAATACAAAAGAAATTCGATTTATTCCTGAATCACTTATTGTTAGTGATTTTCTTGATGAAACAAATCCGGAAAATCGTCTACAACCAAATGATCAATATGTTAAAGCTCAACATCGTGTATTAATTGAAAGATCTAGTAATGTAAATATATATGTATTTTAAATCTATAAATTTCTCTTTGTTATGTTTTAACTTTAGATTACAACTCCTTTTTATAAAATTCTTCGATCAGGTGGTAAAGAAGGTTGTGAAGATTTAAATAAAAATTTAAAAACATATGAAGATGCACTTAATAATACTTATTTTGGTGGATCAAAACCAGCTATGGTTGATTATATGTTATGGCCATGGTTTGAACGTTTTCCATTATTAAACGATGCTGGTTTTCAATTGAATGGTGATGGTAAATTACCTAAACTTGCTGCATGGACGAAAGCAATGGAAGCAAATGAAAATGTTCAAAAAGTTAAAGTTCCTTTGGAACTAATGAAAAAATTTATGAATGGATATTTACAAGGAAAAGTAGAATATGATTTTGAATAGACTTAGTTTTTTTTTTTGTTTTTTCATTTATTAATAAAAATAACTTTTTTTTCCTTTTGCTTCCTTTTTCTCTAAAATCATTATATTCATTATTAATCTAAGAGAATAAATAAATAAAAAAAAAAAGAAACCATGAATGATTATTCATTAATTCTTCTTATGTTTTTAGACATCATTTAGTCTTGTTTATGTTTTTTTTTTTCTTGTCGAAAGATTAATATCTCATGTTAAGAATTATTAATTTTCGTCCATATTTGTTGAATACATTCGCTAGAAAAACATGTCAATTAACTGGTAAAAAAAAAAGTTAGATAGTAGTTAATAGAAAAATTTTTTAAATTTTTCTTATTTATATTCAGTATTATATCGTCCATTATCAGCAGAAACATTACCAAGACGTCATGATATGGATGAATATAATCATCGTATTGATATAGCTGCACCACATTATGAACTTCTTGAGGGTAGATTGTTGTTTTTTTTTGTTCTGTTTTAATTTAAAATTTATCTTGAATTTTACTTAGTACTCAATCATCGTTCATCACAATTACAATCTTTTATTAAAACTAATCGTTCATCTCGAACATCTTCTCCATCATCAGATCGATCAACAACGAAAACTAATATTCGATATCGAACTAATACTAAACGAAAAAATCAAAATAATGTTAATATTGAATTAAATCCAGTTAAAGAAAAAGAACAAGTAAAATTTGTTTTTATTTAAATCAATGATAATTAATTAATATCAATATTTTTTTTTGTTTTAAAGCCTATTGAATTAGCTCGACCAAAACCTAGTAAAACAAAAGAAAAAAAGAAGAAAGAAAAAACAAGTGAGTATACCTTTCCAAACATAATATTCCACATGTTCGTTTTTGTACAACTGGTTAAAAGATTTTTTGGAACCAGCCGATCCTAGTGAGGACCTCTGGTTCTAAAAAAAAATTTTAGTCAGCTGTACACAAACTACTATGTAGAATATCATTTGAATGTACTTAATCCAAGATCGACTTTTTTTTTCGGTAACTTGAAGAATTTATCTTGAGTTTTTTTCTTTAACACAGAATCTTATAGAGGATGATGATGATGATGATGATAGAATCGCAATCGATGAAATCTGAAGTTTTTTAAAATTATATCCTTATATGATTTATTTTCCAGCTAGTCCTTCTTCTTTACCAATTCCACCAAATCGAATAAATGAATTAAGTAAAAAACTTATTCGTACAACATCTATTGATGAAAATCAATCAATAACAACAATATCTCCTAATTTATATGATGAAACTCTAATAGCTGAAGAAGAACAAGAAGATTTAGAATTAAATGAAACATTACTTCCACCATCATCTGTAGAAGAAATAACTTTAAATGATAATCATGATGATAAAACATTAACTGATTTATTAAGTAGTTTACATTCTACTAAAGTTCGTCGTTTACATAAATATACAGATGAAGAAATTAAATTTATGCATATACATAATGAATTTAATCGTATGTTACAAGCTTATGTAGATGTATTAATATTTAATGGAAAAGTTTGTTTAATTTTTTTTAATAATTTTCTTTTATTATAATTTTCTTTAGTTAAATCAAGCTCGTCGATTACTTAATGAATTATTAGTTGATCAAGAAAGAAGACAATCAATGAAAAAACTTACATGGCGTTATGTAACGAATATACATGTTTTTAATACATTCTATTTTGCTTATGCAGATAAGGTTATTATTTTAAATGATTATTATTTATGCATCTAGATTGGGTTTTTTTTTATTATTATTTTGATTTCTAGGGTAATCTTAAAGCATTACAAGATTTATTTGAAAAAATGCGTAAATATCATATAAAACCAACACTTGAATCTTATGCAGCAGGTTTAAGTTGTCTTGGTAATATGGATTTATTTGATTCAAGTATTGCTCGAAGAATTATAATTGATCTTGAAAAAGAAGTATGATAAAAAAAAAAGAACAATCAAGAATAATTTTTTTTTCTTTATTATTAAGGGTTTTCGTGTTGTGGATATATTTAATCTTGATTGTTTAAATCATGAACATATACAAAGAATTTTAAAAGTTTTAAAAACTTTTCGACCAAATTTTGATATACCAATTCGTTCATCAAATGTGAATAATAAACTTTTAAATAATATTTATCAACAACCATCTCTAACAATCGTAAGTTTAGAAAAAAAAAGAAGATATTGTAATGATAAAATTAAAATATATCTTAACATTTAAAATTCAAAGATGTTTCATTACTCGCATCTTTATCGTAGATCATAAGAGTCAACAGTTGCTATGTTTGCTTAATGTTTCATCGGCTTTGGTCTTAGACTTTCCGTCAAAGTCGAGAGTATATTTGAAATCAGCATAGAAAACTGAGTCGATCAATATATGTCACAAAAATCCTCTGACAAATTTTATTTTCTCTCAAGATTAGTTACGTCAAAATATAAAATCAATTAAAAGATTGTTATTCGTCTGTCGTTTTGGATTTTCCTAAATTTTTAAAAATATCAATAGTGACTTTTCACAGTCTGGTTTTAATAGGATGTATAATTATCCTGACCGAAACCGATGAAATCTTAGGTAAACATAACAACTATTAATTCTCATGATTATTATACGTTCGAGCTAAATATCTTTACCATAAATTACACTCAACACAATATTATCATTTTGTAGAACTTTGAAAAGTTTTTTGAAGAAGGAAGACAAACTTTCTATATAAACACTAAATAGCATGACGTTAGAAGAGATCGATAATATCAAGTTTTGAGTCAGCTGTATCCAGCTAGAATGAGGTCTAACCTGTCTAATTTGAACACCAATCAACATCTGACTTTGTTCATTGGGAAAATAGGGAACTTAATTTCGAGACGGAAGGCAGATTTCATCATTTAACGATCCCTTGTTTTGTGCAGATTTTTTTTACAAAATAGATTAAGATGGAAATGAGCATCCTATGATTATGTCTTGCCTAATTAAATATTATACACTATCGAAATTCGTTAATTTACTGCATACGAATTCTCTTTTCTGAAAGTGAATTATAGATGCAAAGAATGATCAGATGGAACAATGCACAAATCTTGCTATTTTCGAATAGAATAAGATATGGACTTGTTGGTACTCTATGATCCTAGACTTATGAAAGAAGCCCCTCAGCTGTTCAATCGCTTTGAAGTTGGAACTATGTGCATCATGTAGATCCTAATTCTGATCCTTAACATATTGCTGCTGAGATACTGCATTTTTACGGTTTTTTAAGTCAACACCGTGACTCTCGCAGGCAAATTCGTTTTCGACTTGAAACTTTGCATAGAGACAGATCTTAGTCAGAATAGTTTATTGTGAAAATTTGATTTGCTCCTTAAATATCAAATCTGTCAATGTAATTGAGTATTGTAAAAGACATGCATTTATCATAGCTGTATCTTAGGATAGAAATAAAGAAAATATCTAAAACTTTCACAATGAACTATCCTTAGTGAGCTCAGTTTCTATGGAAGGATCGAAATTCGAAAATGAGTTTTCATTGTGACTCTGAAGAAGTGTTATTGACCTAAAAGAATGCAATATCTTAGTAGCAATAAGCTAACACCTCGAACTTCTTTCCAAGGTATTCATCACTCATTAGAATGTACATACAGCACATTATCTCGACTTAATAGTCATTAAAAAAACGATGGATAACAGTTACATCTTATGAGACTTTTGTCTTTTTTTACACATAACAATTTCTTTTTTATGCTATTTGGATTATACTATTGAGATTGATACCATTTGTTTTCTTTTGTGTCTTGTTGTTTGTTTGTTTTTTTTTGTATTTTTTGGACAAAGATCAACCGATACAAACTGATCTATGGTGGAAAGATATTGATTTTAAGAAGAAATTAAATGATCAATTAAATATGGAAATAGATCATACAGTTAAAATAAAATCAATTAATGCAATGAAAAAAATCGATGAAAAATTGGTTAGTATTTTTCTTTTTTATTTGTTTTTAAATGAAAAAAATTTTTTTTTGTTGTTGTTGTTATAGTCAACTAGATATCAAGATTTTATATCAAGTCTTGAACAACAATTAACAATAGGATTTTTAACTGAACTTGAATTATTAAAAAGAAAATCAAAGAAAAATCTTGAAATAAATATAATTCCATTTCTCGAAATATTTGATGTTAAAGAATATGTTGGTTTAATGATAACAGTAAGATTCTATGTTTTTTTTTTCTTAATTACTATCTTATATATCATATAGGAAGTACAACGACATTGTTATGCATCAGAATTTCATTCATCACCATTTGTAACACTTTGTATATCACTTGGTAGACATTTATATCAAAAATATTTATGTCTAATTCGACAAAAAAATGGTTTCATTGATAAATTACATCTTTTATATGATGAATATACAAAACATATTATTACAAATGAACGATTTATTATTAATGAAAGACAAAAATGGAATGAAATAACTAAAGAAAAATTTGCTTATATGGTTAAGTTTTTTTGTTAAGATAGTTAACCAAAATTCTCGAAAGAATTTGTTTTTTGTTTAGGATCGTAATGATCGACGATGGACATTTACACAAGTATTACAACTTGGAGAATTTCTCTATAATGTTATGTTGAAACATATGAAACTTCGTGTACCATTACTTACTAAAAAAGATCAAACAAAAAAAACATCGTAAGTTTAAAAAAAAAACAACTAAGAATTTCGTAGTTTTGATTTTGAATATCGAAGGAACGCTTTCAATTGATCAATTACTTTATTATCGAAAACTAGTGGGTTATAGATTGTCGACCATGTTAATTCCTAATATGACTGTAAGAAATCTCATTAGATCTTTAGATGCTGATTTTCCAGACTAACAAACATTTTGCCAAAACCGTTTATGATGTATTCACACTGACCTAATTCCCTCTGCAGACCAAAAAACATAGCCTCTTGACAGTACTGATATGAATTAATACGACGTCTTTTTAGTCTGGAAAACTAGCATATGAAAACTTACGGGGATTTCTCATAGCCATATTCGAAATCAACTTAATCGATAATTTATAATCCAATAGCTTTTGATAAGAAAGTAATTGATCAGTTGAAAACGTTCTGTCGTAAAATTCTAGCATACAGGATGCTTCATAAAATATCAATAAACCTTATAACAACGAGTTATTGCACAACAAAAAAGAAATACATAGTTGCAGTTAGAGCCCATCGGATTGATTTCGGATTCGGATTCGATCAGATCGAGTGTCTGAGAATTTTTTGTTAACCAAGTTGGGATCCGACAGTCTGTAGTTGTGAACAATTTCTTTGTTCTGCTGTAAACACTAAGAATAATTGAAATAATGATTTCAGTTGAGAAATCTATTTACAATAAGAATAAAAATGACTGCTAGTTTCTCGAGGAAAGGATCTATGAAAAACCAAACCGCAAATTTTCAGCAGAGACCCTTTCCTTGAGAAACTTTAATCTCAGTTCAAACGTCAACATGAACATGCAAATCTCATATAGATACATTTGGGAAACGATCATCTCCTGTTTGTATATAGGGAAATTTTGTTAAAGTTTTCCAACTTTCAAAACGTCCTTGTTCGATAATTTCTAATATTTCATGAAGAAAAGAAAATGATGTTCTTTTAAATTGCATGTAGGAAGCTGTGAGTTCTTCACAGAGGATACCAGATATTGGTGAAAAAAACCTAGGGTCTGGACTCGGTCGAATCCGGGTGCACAAAAAGGTGGATTCGCAGTTCCCTAATTGCACGATCATTTCATTATGAACTATATGTTCGTTCTAAATAAACGTGTTTCGAGGTCACCAAAATTAGGGGGAGGGGAGGCCACCCTAATTCTAAATTTAAATAGAACAATGCTCATATTAGAAATCTATTTTGATTTCTCTTTATAAAATCCTTGTATCTATGATTCTGAAACTTTAACAATTAATTTTATTATAGAAGAATTGAAAAAAATATGATTATCTATTTAGAAATAATTCAGTTTTGTACGTTGTCTATCGAAGTTCTGGTAAATCTACTGAAAAACAAATCAAAGTATGTCTATCATAATAATAAATAAATCTTATTTCATCTATATTTATTTATATAGGTTCATCCAACTGTTTTACATTTTTTTTCACATATTCCTGAGGCTAATCTTGATTTTAGTTGTATTGAATTACCTTGTCTTGTTCCTCCACTTCCATGGTTATCATCAACAATGGGTGGTTATTTATTAACACAAACTGAATTTGTTCGATCACCTATATCAGCTGGACAACAAGATGCTCGTCTTCGATCTTTATCTATTGAAAAAATCGGTGGTTTACTTGATTCAATAAATGTTTTAAATAGTTGTGCATGGAAAATTAATGGTGATGTACTTGATCTTTTAATGGATATTTTTCAACATGGTGGAAATCGTCATTTATCTGTACCGGTTTCTGTTGAAAATGCTAAACTACCTGAACCACTTCCACTTGACAAAGTATTCACAAAAAAACAAAGAAAAATAATTAAAATATATTTTATTATTTATTTTTTAAATTAAAGGGTTTATCAATAGATGAACAAAAACGAAGAGAAATTGCTTTATCTCAAACAAAAAAAATGAAAGCTGAACTTTTTTCATTATGGTGTTATGAACTTTATCGTTTATCAATTGCTAATCATGTATATTAAAAAAAAATAACAACAATGTTTTTGTTTAATTGATTTAAAGAAATAATTTCCGTATTGCTTTTTTTTTTTTTTGTTATTTTAGTTTCGTAATGAAGTCTTTTGGTTTCCACATAATCTTGATTTTCGTGGTCGTGTTTATCCTGTTCCTCCACATTTCAATCATTTAGGCAGTGATATTGCACGTAGTATTATTCTATTTGCTGAAGGCAAACCATTAGGTCCAAATGGTCTTCAACAATTAAAAATTCATCTAGTTAATTTAACAGACTTAAAGAAAAAAGCATCGATTGATGAACGAGCAAAGTATGCTGATGATATCATGGATGATATACTTGATTCAGCTGATAGACCATTAAATGTATGTTAATCATTTTTTTTTGTTTATCATGAAATTTATTTTAAATTAAAAAAAAACAAACAAACTTAGGGTCGTCAATGGTGGACAAAATCTGAAGAACCATGGCAAACACTTGCTTGTTGTATGGAAATAGCTCGTGCAATACGTTCACCAGATCATACAAAATATGTTTCACATTTTCCTGTTCATCAGGTATTTTTCAATAAAATTTGCATCGAATGTCATTTGTTCTCATAAGCGGAGATTTGAACAAGAAAAAATTTTAGAAAGATCGACAAAAGCACGGTAGTAGTTCACTTTTATAATCCTTTTGTTTAAGAACAATGGTCGATTTAGAGAAGAAATGATCTCCTGTCTTCAAGAAAATTTTCCTCTTTCCCTTCCAAAACTTTATATCCACTACTGACTTAGACGTATTATTGACACTTTTTTCAATGTCATGACAAATCGAATCTTTACTCTAGAGTGATCGATTTTCGACTATCTCAATCCCGAAAGAGCTAAGAGCTTGTCTGCTGTGCAACAAGCAGAATACGATTCAATAGAGACTTGCAATATTGTCAAGTTTCTTAAGGTTTTGTACGACACTACTATCGGCGCCAGAATATAAGGCACCTGTTAATTTTTGACAGAAACAAGATAGAGACCTGTAATTTCCAGTATATTATAGCCAAGATCCAAAAGTATATTTTTCTCAGAAAAGTTTTTGTTTATAAAAATATGCTCTCGGGTCTTGGCTATCAAATGCTGAAAACCACAGGTCTCTATCTTGTTTCTATCAAAAGTTATTCAAAAAACAACCAGGTACCTTATATTCTGGCACCGATATTAGTTGAAAAAATGAATTATTGAATTTTGTTCTTACACTCACGCTTTGCGCTGTTGTTCAACATAAGCAGAGGCTTGCCTCAGAAATGCTTTCAGTTTCACCGAGATAGGAAAAAAATCTTTTGTCTGACATCAAATTATTTTTTGATCGAAACTGAGCCTAAAATTATCTTGTGTTCGGAGTACCGGTATCTAAAACGATACTGATTCTATTCATAAAACTTTTTTAATTTTTCTAGGATGGTTCATGTAATGTTTTACAACATTATGCAGCTATGGGTCTTGATGATATTGGTGCAGCATCAGTAAATCTTAAACCTAATGATTTACCACAAGATGTTTATAGTGTTGTTGTCGATCAAGTTGAACAAGAACGTAAACAAGATGCTTCAAATGGTTTACAAATAGCTAAAATTCTTGAAGGTTTTATTAAACGTAAAGTTATTAAACAAACAATAATGACAACAAATTATGGTGTTACATTATATGGTGCTAGACAACAAATAAGTCGACAATTACGTGATATTGATGAATTTCCACGAGAATATATTTTAGAAGCAAGTACTTATTTAGCACAAAAAACATTTATTAGTTTACGAGAATTATTTCAAGAAACAAGAAAAATTCAAGTAAGTTAATTTTTTTGTTTCTATACAAATCACTTGGATAAGGATGTTTTTTTTTCGTTCTTTCTTAGGATTGGTTTACTGATTGTGCTAGATTAATTTCACGTGTACGTGATTCAGCTGTCGAATGGAATACACCATTAAATTTACCAGTTGTACAACCATATTATAGAGAAATTCGAATGAAAGTTAGTTTAAATAATTTGTTTTTTTTTCTTTTTTTGTATATTGACTTTATGTTTCTATTTAGCAAAAAGGCAAAGATATTTATGATAATTTTAGTAGTTTCGCGTAAGTGTGTCATTTTGAAAAGTAGCTTTTTTTTTTTTTACATTCTGTTAGAAGAAAAATATTCTTTGAAACTTTTAAATCAAATGTTGTTTTTTATTTTCTAGTCGTCCAAATAATATCAAACAAAAGAATGCATTTCCACCAAATTATGTTCATTCTCTTGATTCAACACATATGATGATGACAGCATTACAATGTGCACGTAATGGTATTACATTTGTATCAGTTCATGATTCATTTTGGACACATGCATGTGATGTTGATCGACTTGGTCAATATTGTCGAGAACAATTTGTTTCGTTACATAAAGAACCATTACTTGAAATACTTTCACGAGATCTACTTTCGAAATATGAATTTAAATCTAGGTAGGAATAAAAACACCCGTCAGTACAGCCTAAAATGTGCAACTCACATGTGACATCCTAAATATAAATTTTTATCTGAGCAAAAATTTTACAAAAAAATGCACTATATAGAACATTCATGAATGTATTCAAGTTATTGAAATTTTGAGAAAGTCTTCAAACTGATTAATCGTCTTTAAATTGGGACTGTGTGCATTGTGTAAATCCTAATGAGAAGAGTTCCGGCTCGTACTTTTTAGCTGCCGACGTACTCTACTTTTATGGAACCTTTCAATACAATGTCATGGTCTCCCTTCAGGAACACATTAACTATTCTCGTTAAGACATATTTCCATGCAAAGTTTCAAGTCAAAATTCGTAAATCAATTTTCCTAGTGTTCTTGAGGTTGCAGCCCGTCAGATTGATTTCAGACCTGATCCAATCAAGTCTGAGTCTGAAAATTTTGGGCCTGACGAGCTCTACCTGAGGGGACCATGACATAGATGGAACCGGTCTTATTTTTTTCAGGCCGGACCGAACCGGCCGGTCTACCGATAATATACCGATCTACATGCAACAAACCCAGCCTTAAAATGAAATCTCGCTTCATAGTGAACTGTTTTAAGTTAAATTAGTAGCTTTCCACATACTCACAGAAAGCTTCACTATTGATAACAACAGTTTCATTGGAAGCATGATCAGCGAGATTAGGCTTGGTTCCACTTATTGTATTCTATATGGATACAATCATAGATCAGAAAAGTGGAAAAGTTAGATTAATATAGACTGGTCTGTTGTATTGAAAATTATTGCAAGAATGCAATATGTCATCAGCAATAAGCTATGAACCTGAATTCTTTTCAGAGTATCCATAATCCATTAGGATCTACATAATGCACACAGTTCCAACCTAAAAGCGATGAATCAGATGGGAGACTTCCCTCATAAATCTTGTTTTTAAGTGCCTTTTTTTCGGTGCTAACAAACATTTGGAAAGGAATCTGATTTCTGTTGTCCTCGATAATTGTTGCTGCTTCTCCCCCCCCCCCCCCCCCCAGCCATAAAAGCTTGACTTAACACTCACACTTACTATAATTTTCTTCGAAAAACATAATGTGAGTTCCACAGGAAAAAGAAAAACAATTAAGATTATTTATATTCTATTTATTTTTTCTTTTCTAGTGAATATGCCCGTGCTGATGATAAACAAAAACAAACAATGAAACTATTTAATGATACACTTCAACGTGTACCTGAACGTGGTACATTTCAATTAGAAAGTGTACTTAATTCGAGATATTTTTTCAGTTAAATAAATAGAAATTTTTGTTGATATTATTTTCTTTTCTAAATATTAATTATTTTTTGATTGACTACGTGATGATTGTTGTGGACGACGTTGTTGATTTGATGGAGAATTTTTAGTATTTCCTTCATTATTATTATTATCTATTTTAGCCATATATTTAATTAAATCAATAACACGATGACTATAACCATATTCATTATCATACCAAGATATAAGTTTAACAAAATTATCATTAAGTGAAATACCAGCTTTAGCATCAAATATTGATGAATATGAACTACCAATAAAATCTGATGAAACAACTTCATCATTTGTATAACTTAAAATATTTTTTAATTCATTTGTATTACAAGCATTTTTAATTGTATTACAAATATCTTCATATTTTGCCTATATTATATATTAAGAATATTTACATATGTAATTCAATTGAGATGAAAAATTTTCATACCGATTTTTCAAGACGACAAGTTAAATCAACAACAGATACATCTGGTGTTGGTACACGAAATGACATACCAGTTAATTTACCATTAAGAGCTGGAATAACTTTTCCAACCTTTCAAAACAAAAACAAAAAAACATTTAAAAATTTAAAATCAATCCAACAAACTGCTTTAGCAGCACCAGTTGATGATGGAATAATATTTTGAGCTGCTCCACGACCACCTCGCCAATCCTAAAATAATTAATTATCATCATTCTTCTGAAAAAGTTTAATTTCGACTTTATTCGATGGTCCATCAACTGTTTTTTGTGTTGCCGTATATGAATGTATTGTTGTCATAAGTCCTTCAATAATTCCATATTTTTCATGTATAATTTTAGCTAATGGTGCAAGACAATTTGTTGTACATGATGCATTTGAAACAATTGTATCTTTGCCTGTATATTTATCTTCATTTACACCCATAACATACATTGGTGCATCAGCTGATGGTGCTGTTATAATAACTTTTTTTGCACCACTTTGAATATGTGTTTGACATTTATCAATTGTTGTAAATACACCAGTGGATTCAACAACATAATCAATACCTAATTGACCCCAAGGAATTTTCGATGGTTCTTTTCTATAGATAGAAAAACAAAACAAAAAATTTACAATAATTAAAACTTTGAAAAATTTAACTCCATATAAATAGTTATTGGATTGCCATTAATAATAAATTTATTATCTTTATATGATAAATCACCTTTAAAACGTCCATGTGTAGAATCATATTTAAACATATAGATCATATAATCAACAGGAATGAATGGATCTTAATTTTTATTTGACGTTTTTTTTTGTAAAATTAATGTTGTTATATAAATATAAGTTACTTACCATTAATAGCAAGAACTTTAACACCTTTTTCTAGTGCACATCGAAGTACAAGTCGACCAATACGACCAAAACCATTAATACCTATTTTGATATCAGACATTATTCGAGTAAAATGAATATAAACACAAATATTTAGATCAAAAAGAATTAAAAGTAAACAAAAAAAAAGCGCCTTTATTAATACAACAAAAAAAAACAAATTTCGATGGACATTTTTATCTTTAATGTATTGCAGAACAGAGGATTTCTGTAATAAATCGTCGACAGAACAAAAGTTCTTTTTTATAACATAATATAATTTGTTTTTTTTGATTTTAAATATAAGAGTTTCATACAGAAGATAATTTGATACAAGTTTACACTGTTAAAACAACTTTTGCCTTCTTCAATGCGTGAATAAGACAATAGAAAAAAACCATCTTTGATTAGTGTGTACACATAGGAGACGTCTAAAACAATTTTCCAATATAACGTATGTATGCAAATAGAATATTCGATGCAGTTTGTCGTACTCTTGTTAAGAAAACAAGATTTTTCTTTTCATTTTTCGAAACGATCGAAATGTGTTCGAGAATAAACATTCGAGATGGTTTTTATTTAAAAATGGATTTATAAATCTCTTAATAAAAAAAAAAATATAATTTGATTTAATTCTATATTGAGCAAATAAAATTGAATTTGCCCAATATTTATCTGAAATTTTTTCAGTAAAAATCAATTAAATATATTAACGAAAATTGATTTTTGTTTGAGAGAATTTTACCAAGTTTTTAAAATTAAAATCGAAAATACAAAGCAAAGTTAGGCGCCACTCTCTTCTTTCTCATATGTTAACAGCTGTAAAAGCAGTTGATGATCGATAATGAATCACATAGACAATTAATCAATCAATCGAAATCCTCCTTCAGAAGAGTTTTCATCGACATTCATAGAGTTCTCGTAGTGATGAATTTTATTATGGAACTTTTGAATTTTCTCACGATTTATATCAGCTGGCTCGTAAAAAAAAAAGTAATTTTTCGAACTTGAATACCATCTAGTTCTATTAGATAATCAAATTAGTGCAAAGAAATAGCTGTAGTAACCGAATTAGGCCGAGTGCCCTAATTTGGTCACAAAAGCAACGTGAAAAAAAAAGGTTGACGATAAAGACTAAAGTTGATAAAAATTATATTAAAAGATAGATTATGCGCTTTATGATCGAGTGATATAATTTTATTAACAAAATAAAATATTTTTTCTGATGAAACAACTTTTTTTTTTCGAGCACTTTGTCCAAATCCCTGTAATGATCGGGTTAGGACAAAAAAAATAGCTGAAGTGATCACATTAGGAAAACAACAGAACGAACAAAAATATCAATTATGCATTTTTGTAATCATGATTACTCATTAAAAATTAATTAATTTTGAAAAAATAATTGCCAGCAATGTAGAGCGTCGATCACTCTATTTCGGAAACTAAGAATGAGCTCAAACGGACGTTGTTGAGCAAAGATATGACTTTTTTTCTAAAAATTACTGAAAGTAGTCATCCAACTAAGACCAGGTGCTCTAATCGATTGAATTCAATATTTGTTTTTTGATTGTCCAAATTAAAATCCTTTTTTTATGATAAATAGTTGCGAATTTTCATTCTCCAGTAGATGTTCTTTATTAAATAAGTAAACTATGTTAACACAATACATTTTTTTAAAAATTCACTGCATCAGGTTGAAATAGATATCATTCAATATCTTATGGAATTGGATCAGTTTGACGTGAAACTTGTTGAGTGCTTGCTGCTGCTTGAATTGGACCAAGTTGAAGCGGCTTTTCTCCATCATCTTTTGATCGTAATGGTTGAATACATGGATTCGATGAACAAATCGTACGGAGTTCTCCTTCCAAACTATCAAATAATCTTTTTAAACACCTGAATTCTCTAGAAAAATTAGTGTTAAGAGCACGAAAAAAGATTTCTTGAGTAACATACCCTTTGCCCTTCAAAAATTCTGATGCATTCATTTGAAAGTATTGACCTGTAAAGTACTAAACAACACAAGATAATGATGATTTTTTTTAAAATTTTTGTGTTACTTAATTTCCAATTGACAAGTTATTCCTAGCCGCAGAACATGCACAGGTCAATTTCAAATTATTTTTGGTATAATTAATAATGATTTTATTGTCATTATCTGTATCATATTCGAAGAATTGAGGTTGGGTGTGGGTGTGTGGGTGTGGGTGGGTGTGGGTGTGGGTGTGGGTGTGGGTGTGGGTGTGGGTGTGGGTGTGCATGTGGGTGTGGGTGTGGGTGTGGGTGTGGGTGTGGGTGTGGGTGTGGGTGAGTTAAGAACATCCACACCCACACCCACACCCACACACCCACCCACACCCATACACCCACCCACACCCCACACCCACACCCACCCTTAGCCATTTTTTTAAAAATAATCATAAGAATTTCATCGGGCAAATCATTCAATTGAACACACAAACGTTTCATGTTTATCTATAGCTATTATCCCTTTTGATTATCTGTTAAATATCAATATTTATATCGACATACTCATATGTTCTGTTTGACCGATGCCGTTCATGTAAACAATGATACATTGTTCTATAATCTAAACTGACGATGAATGAATGGATAATTGATCGAATACTATTTTTTCTCTCTGTTTTTGTTCAACACATAATTTTATAGGCGGATAAACAGATAGAAATTTGTTTTTTCAATATTTTAAGAAAAAGAATTTGATAACTATAGGTTTAGTCATGTTTGATAGGATTTATTTTTTTGAAAATGAAAAATAATTTCCTGTTTAAAGAGCAGGACTGGATTTGCTGATAAGATTGGCTCTATTTGAAAACTAATAGAAAAGGTGCCTCATTATAGATATTTTCAAAGATAATGTTACACTTTTTCAAGACACCATTTTACTCTTATTAACTGACGAGGGAAGTGTCCGAACTGTTTAAAAGCTTTTGATCCCATCTTTTGGCTATAAGTAGGTTCCAATGAGCCGAAGAAAACTCTAAAAGCATTCGTGATCACGATTCTTCCATTTCAGAATACGATCAAATATATGTCGAAAAAAAAGAATTTCGAACATTTTTTTTGTTTCTGATACATAGAAGAAAGTGTTTGAAATCAGGTACTTTACTCTTAAACATTCACAATTGAGTCTAATCGATATTTTTTTGGTCTTTTCATCCCTACCTTTAACATTAGTTTCTATCTTATTATTCAAAATTCTATGAGCACCTCAGCACCTTTCAGTAGTTTTCGGTGCACGGTACCTGGACTTTCTCTCTTGGTTTATGATCAAGACTCAATAGAATTTCAAATCCAGTGATGACTCGTTGAAGAATGACATTCGACAGTTAAATGTGTTTCAGAAGATTTTTGTTTACCAAGAATAAATTTAATCTTTCCATTGTGAGTTGATATTCATAACTAAAGTGTGATTTAATGAAATGAAAAGAGTGGAAATTTATCAATTGTTTAAACAATTTAGTTTGTGAGATATTGAGAAGAGAATCTAAGAACAATTTCTCGTAATATTTTGTTGGAAAATATTATTCTTTTTTAAGCGGATGCTGAAATTGAAAAAAAAGAAACCGAATTTCTTGACTTCAAGACAAGCAAAATTTCCTACCAATGAAAATTCTCGCTTTTTATTATTCAA